AAAATACAAAGGCAAAGACAAGTGGTATCTGAAGATTTGATTCTGGGAGATAAATTTGAACCTGTCAGAACAAGATTCACACTTAAGCAATCCGAGGAAACTCTTTTGGGATTGGTGTCTCTGATAGAACCAACTTCTTATCAAGAGACTCTTAAAAATAATGAATGGATTCTATAAATGCAAGAAGAGCTAAATCAGTTCTCCAGAAATAACATTTTGGATTTGGTACCTAAGCCTAAAGGAAGTTACGTGATTAGGAATTGATTTCCATTTAATTATGAAATTTTTGTAATGGTTCTTGAATGAATGAATTTATGGACTTGTCATAGGTCTTTATGGTTTTCTTTGTACCAATGACAAAGTTGAAATGGCTTAGGGTGTAATGAGATTTTGATAATGATGACTTTTGTTTTGAAAAGAATCACGAATGAATCTTAATGGAAAATGGTTTTGAATGGAATTTGATATATTGAATAATGGAACTTGTAATGTAGGGAATTGGTAACTTATAAACAAAATTAATGATATGAAATACCTATTTCCATCTTTTCCAAATTTGAACTTTCAACTATTTCTTCAATACCTTGAATGATGATGATGAAATGGCTTAAAAACTAAACATGACTTTGGTCAAAAGTCTTGTCTTCGTAATTTGAACTCGATCCATAACCGTATTTTCATCATTGCCTACATTTTGAAATCCTAACAACTATGTTTCAAACTTTAAATAATAACAAGTCCTACAGAACCTCAACACTAGAATAAAGTCCACAAGAACATCTTGTGTCACACAGAATTGTTCATGCTATCCTGCATCTTAAACTCACAGTTGATTGGAGAAAATGTCCTTGAATCATGATGAAAACCAAATTTATGCCTTAGCCTTGTCACTTGAATTCGAAGAAACTAAACATGTATGAATCTTTGGATTCTGAAAGATAGTCTAAATAAAACCCCAGTAGAATAATAACTCTTGACAAAACCCTATCTCAACCGATGAACATAGAATAGGAGCAGATGATTCAAAGAAATCCTTGTGCTCAGGATCACCCCCGATAAGATAAAATCATATATTCATGAGTTAATATAAAGCTTCATATAAAATACCAACCTTTGTAAGGAAATCCCAGAAGGGATGCTCTTGTATCTTGACGAAGAAGAAGTTCCTGATGACCATACTTCATCGATTGAAGAAAAATCTGAGAAATCACACTTTATTTGATATATACACCTCAAATATACTCTGAAGCCCTACATGCACCATCACTCATCTTTTGAACCATGGTACATTATTGAATGAAATGCATGATATGCAAATGGCCTAATGAAAAGATGTGAATGCAATGCTAAGCCTAAGCCAGATAATAATACAATTAGGAGGGAAAATTTTTGAGGTGAAACACAACCAAGCATATAAGGATCAGGAACTTCCATATAACCAATCATTATGCCAAGAAATCGATCAAAACAAAAAGGAATCAACCATAGCATCACAAAAACCTAAATTTAACCACAATTAGACATTTAGTCATATTAATTCCTAAACTAATAGTAAAAATCATGAAAAAAATTATATCTAAGTCATAGATTAACATAATAATATTCACAAAACAATTCAGCGAAAAATCATGTAAGAATCATCAAAACTAAAATGATAAAAGTCAAGAAACTAAATGAATTCACAAGAAGATCAGGTGGTGTGTGGATCATTGAAGGGGTGTAGAATAATGAGCCCAATGGTGCGAGGCCCAAGCGCTACATTGCTCAGTCCAGATCCACTCCATTTTTCATTTTTTAATTTATTATTATCTGTTATTAATGATTGAATAAAAAAGAAATTAGTAGAGAGAAGTGCCAAAACGCCTTCAAACCTCTTAAGCACTTCTCTTCCCTCTTTTCATTGTTCCATTTCTCTTCAAACTTCCAAACCCTAGCTACCACGACTGTCACCTACACCGTGACGCATCTCTAATCGCCACCATAAACAACCGTGTATCGCTCTCATCTTTCCCTATCAATTCTTGGCTAAGCTTTTCTTATGATTTTTCTTTTCTTATAATTTTCCACGGCTTTGCCCTGAAACTTTGTTTGTTTGAAGCTGGGCCACAATTCTGATATAATACTGATAACAGTATTATATTCACACTTGCACCTAAATTAATAACAACTCTAATTTTCATATTACATATAGAGACATGTAATACAACTAAACTAGGCCCGACTTTTTTCCTGGGCAGATCTTGTTGATCATCTTTCCAGACTTCATTCAGCGACTTTCCTTCTCCTGTTCTTTCTTCTCTTTCTTCCATGGTACCAACACCATTCTATTTGTCTGCAAGAACAACATTGTAATGCTCATTTGGATTGTTTTTTGTGTTTGCACTAAATGTGTAACTAGGGAGATCTAAAAAATGCTTGTTAATTTTCCCACCTAAGTTTCAAGGTTTTCAATGAAAGCTTTAGTATTCTTTTGGTTGGCCATAGGCACATGTATAAACTGATTGAGTGTATCCTCCAACTTGTTTGTTTTGTGTGGTTGTGGAGGTGCTTGTGAATATTGATGAAAATGTTGTATGTTTGATGGACCAACTTTGAATATCCATCCTTGATTGAAATTGTTGCTCTATGGGAAGTTGTATTCATGATATTACCAAGGAGTTTGATTTCCTATGTATTTCACTTCTTCATCAAATGGGGAAAACATACAGTTAGATGGTCTCCGGTGAAAAGTTCTCATAATGCAAACTGCTTGTGAGGTGACACTTCATGCATTTGTTTTAATTGTTGTGGTAACTTCAGCAGTTAGTTATTTGGTCAGCTCATCCATAATTTGGGTCAACAACTTGTGATGAGCATGAATAACATCACTGGTGTTCAGTTTCATGATATTGTACTTCCCATGAGAAATTTTGTTGTTATGTTATCATTGATGATCATGGAGTGACACACGTTTAATGATAGTTATTGCATCTTTCACACTTTTGGATGTGAGATAACCCCCAATAATAGCATCTAAAAGTAACTTTGGTTGTTGTTAAAGTCCATTCATAAAGATGTGAATTTGTTTAAATTCACTTTTCCTATCCACATGTTGAACCAAAAATATACAGTGTTTCATTTTCCAATTTAATGTTGAAAGTCCTCTGCAAACCCGTCTCTGTTTTCTACAACATTCTTCCTAACTAGCTGCAAGTATTTCTGCCATACTTATGCTTTCTTCGACCTCATTGTTCTTGCTCCAACAAAAATGTGTTCTGGTAAGTTGCCATATCTAGAAGTGATTATGTCTTTCTATATTGGCTTCTCTTCACTTAACATCCTCCATTTCCACTTGTAAAGTAGAGCACAACTGAAAATCTCTATATTCCTTACTCTAAATTCACCCCCTCTTTTGATAAGTAAATGTTATTCCATTTCCCCCGGATGATTCCTCTTTTATCTTCCTTTCTAATCCAAAAAAATCTACTTTGAATTTGAATTATTTGTTGTAAGATCTTATTTGGTGCTTTGTAGAATGACATGAAATATATTGGTATGCTGGAAAGTACTAAGTTCAAAAGTGTTACTCTCTCTCTCCAATTGATAACAACCTTCCTTTCCATGTTGATAACCTCTTCCCCAGGCTTTCTATGACTAGACCATGTGGCACATCTTTTAGGACTATAATCCATTGGTATGCCTAAAAACTTAAAAGATATCCGATATAGACATCAAGAGAGGAATCAGGAACCTGCTTGCATAAAAGTCTCCCCTACATGCATGCCATACATTTTACTCTAAATTGGCACTAAATCCACAAACCATTTCAAAATCCCTCAACACTTCTTTTATACTAAATAAATTCTGCTAACTTCCCTTTCCTACTATGATACTATCATCGGCAAATTGCATTAGCCTATGCTCAATATTATCATTTACTTGGAACCCATAAAAAACCCTTAGACTACTTGCCTTGCTAATCAATCATGTCAAACCTTCCACCACAATTGTAAACAGGAAATGGGAAAGTGGATCCCATTGCCTAAATCCCCTCCCAATTATGAAATCACTTGTTGGACTTTCATTAACAATGATTGACATGTTGTTATTGAAGATGCATGCCTCTATCCACTTGATCCACTTGATTCTAAAACCAAACTTCTCTAGCATAAATCTCAAGTAACTCCAACTTACACAGTCATAGACTTGTTCAAAGTAAACTTTTAGTAGCATACACTCATTTCTTTCTTTCTTTGCTAGATCATTATTTCATTCAACACAACAACTTCATCTAATATTTGTCTTCCCGACACAAAAGGAGTCTGACATTCTAATATGATCCTGTTCATAATCCCTTCCAGTCTTGATACTAATTTTTTTTTACAGAATTTTGTACATACATTCCACCAAGCATATTGGTCTATACTTTCACATGCCTCAAGGGTTCTTATTTGTTGGAATTAAAGCAAGGAAGGAAGTTGTGATAGATTTGGCAATGTGGCATTCATATGAAATTCCTTCACAAATTTTACTATATCTCCTTCCAGGAAACTCCAACAATTTTATTATGTTTCTATTGCAACCCTTTCATCATCTGAAATATGCCTTACTTCAATTCCCTCTAACATGGTATGTGTTTGTTTGGTTCTTGAAATATCTCCTAAAAAACTTTCTACATTTCTCTTTTCATCCCATCTACATCTTCTACTCTGCCTCTTCCAAGTACCTTAATTAAAACTATAGGATTTACAAGTTGCTATTTCTATATAGTTTATGAACAACTAGTCATCTCAATTTTTTGGATTTAAAGTGTATAGTTTTTGTTATCACCAATTTTTTTTGCATAATAACATCGTCATTTATAGCTTATACATCCGTTAATTGTTGTATTATTGGCAAATTGATAAAACAGAAAATAGTGAGCTAAGTGAACCTAGTTTATTCAGTATGTTAGAAATCCCAGGTTTGAAGTCATCAATTTTGAGGAGCCTAAGAAAAGTTTGAGACACTGAAAATTGTTTTTAGAATTTTTCACCTGCGCGTAACAAAACTGTTCTAATTTCTTCGGCTATGTCATGAAGGATGATAGGTTTTCGAATCAATCCATTCATTCCCGCCTGTAGGCATCTCTCCTTTATTCGTTCTTCTGCACTTGCTGTAAGAGCAATAATCAAAGGCCAATTTCGGCTTTGGAACTTTCGAATCTTCCTTGCAACTTCAAAACCGTCCATTTCAGGCATGTGAAGATCCAATAGGATGATTTTGAATGACATACTGGAGGCAGTTATAGCAGCTAAACAATCAAAACCCGATGAAACAGCGGTTACATGACAACCAAGCTTCTCAAGTAGCTTCTTAGTTACAGTCCTGTTTACGTTATCATCGTCGGCTAAAATAACGTTAAGCCCTCTAAGCTGTTGGTTTGAAAAATCTTTATTAGCAAGAACGAATCTCCCATGCGATGATCCTAATTGAAACTTGAGAACAAGTGTTACGCCTCGTGCCAAACCTAGAGAGTTTGGTGATATCCAGATATTACCTTGCATCATCTGTATGTCACAAATTGTATGGTCACATTTACAGCACATAAATTTGAAAATGCATCTTAACCATCTATATAAATTTGAAAATCAGAATGGTTACCTGCACCAGTGTTTTGCAAATGCTGAAGCTCAGGCCCTCCTTAGGTTCATTTCTGTGGTGCATCTTACTAGTTAAAGTCGATTCGTCTGAACGGGAACTAGTACCGGTTATCTGGAAATTAAATTTTATATATACATTATCATTTTGCATACTTGAGGATCTCCATATTCTGGAACTTCTATCATCCATATCCACGCCGGTATCGCTTTCGAGAGAAACTTGAAAAACGAGAGTCCCTCTATCGTATAAGTTTAACAAATAGCCAATCATGTGCAAAATTATTTGAAAAGACCTTGCCTCATCGCCTATTACCATATCGGGCAAAGACCTCTGCACATCAATTTCAAGACCAACGCCTTTATATACACACAAACACTTTGCAATGCAAGAAGCTTCCCTCATCATGGAATGTAGATGGAAATGTTTCAACTCTAACTGGAAACTTCCTTTGTCGTTAGCCGAAATCTCCATGACATCGTTTATCAGACGTGAGAGAGAATTGCTAACTTTCAATATTGTGTCAACAACAATCTTCTGTTCGGATCTTATACTATCCTCTTGAAACATTGAAAGCAATCCCAGGATTGAATGCATAGGTCTCCGCATTCCGTGGCTCATCACTTTCTCAAACGAGCTCCTTGCCTGACTAGCCATCATCGCGTACTTTTGTGCCTGCTGCAACGCCCGGTTTTGCTCTGCAAGTTTCTTTCTCATGATCTGAGACTCTTCAAGAACAGATGCATGAGACAACGCCACAGCCACCTGATCAGCAACTACTTCCACTATCTCCATCTCATCGAAGGTCCAAACTCTAGAATTCGATTTCGGAAGAACCAAAACCAATATAGCATAAGACGTCTCAACAAACTCCGGTGTCCCTCCTTTGAAATTCGAAACATGAAGTATCGGCATACGAATGGCCGCTACAGCACCCGAGTCCTCAGATCCACCACTACTCGCAGCTCCAAGCGCAGAATCAAGCCTTAAAACCAACACCTTCTTGCTCTTTCTTATCTCCAACACATCCAAATCGTTAACACATATCGAACTATGAAAATTCCTCCCCGGATTCGGCTTCAACTCATGAGTCAAATGCATGACCCTGATACCCTCATCTGGCATCCAAACCGCACAATTATGCAAATCCAAAGCCTTAGAAAGCTCAACAAGCGTGGTATACAATATCGTATGCTTATCCAACGACTTCCTAATCTCCCTAGTCAACATCCTAACATGCCAACTAGCCTCCTTCTGTTTCTTCATAATCCCAACCTCTTGTCCTAACTCCAACACATTCTGCCTCAAAAACAACTCCCTCACCTTAATCTTCAAAAGAAGCGGAATCAAAGTCGGAAAAGTAATCGCAGTCGCACACGAAACAAGAGCAGTGAAGAATTTGGCAATAGTAAGAGCCAGAAACAATTGAAAGGAATGAGGACCATAGTAAGTATAAGCATTGAGCAAATGTGTCAAACCACATAGAACAATGAAAGCAACAAATTGAAGAAACACCAATTTAAATGGAACATTGGAGTAACTCACAAAATAAAGAAGCTCAAGAGGAATTGAAAAATATGCAATAGCAATGAAAAAATCACTGACTTTTTGACAAACTAAAATACTTTGTACACTCCAAATTCCATCATCATCACAGTTGCAGTGTATGTATTCACCATAAACTGATATCACAAGAGAATTACAAATCAATAACATTAACAACAATATCAAAGGAGAAGAAACAAACCCTAATTCCATAGCTCATTTAGATCTAAACAACTAAATTAACTACAAAAATTAAGCAAATTCAAATTGAAGTGAATAATAACATCACTAATTTAGGTTAATTATAATGAACAAGAAAATAATCAGAAAAAAAAATGGTAGAATAATGAGTGATTGAAGATAAAACGTGTGTTGAAATTTGAATGGTTTATGATAGTTTCTTAAAAGTTACGGCATTTGATGATTTTTGAGGGTGTTGATGGAATAGAATAATAGTGAAAGAAAGATTGGAGTTATTGGAATAATAAAAGAGATCAAAATTGGTAGAAAAGAGATCAAAAATTGATAGAAAAGAGAAAAATATGTAATATCATTGAAGTTTGAATAGAAGAGGGAGTTAAGATTTTTGTGTTGAAAATGAGTGTGTGTGGGTGGGACCATGCATCTTTATATGAAATGAACCTAGACATATTCTTTTAAGAGAATAATTTTTATTCATGTAAATTTCTTTTATATAATTAGGGGGTGAAAATATGTTAGACTGATTTACAGAGGTCTATAACTTAATCTATTTGAGGTCAGATCAGGTCAAACTTATTTATTAAAAGGCTCAGATTTAATTTTTTTTTAAGTTTATTTAATTAAATAGATTAGGCTTAAGTTATTAAAAAAACTTATAAAATCTTATAGATTGACTTTTATATATATATATATATATATATATATATATTTAAGTAATATGAATTTATTGAAAACCTTAATGAGAAAGGTCAGACCAGACTTTTAGAAAGGTCAGGCCAGACCCAAAAAATGAGCCTATAATAGGTCATATACTAGACTTAAGCCTTATAAATTTATTGTAGGCCATGCTCAAGCCTTATAAAGTCTAGTCTAACCTAACTTATTTCCACTCCTATTAACACAATCAACCAATAGAAAATTAACAATTACCATATTATTAAAAAAGTTTAAAAATAAAAGTAAATTATAATTCAATATATGATTGTGATTGATTGACAATGTAAAACTATTTTATACTTTCAGTGCGTCACTTATTTTCTCTTCTTTTAATAGTAAATTAATATTAACTAAATAAATTATTTTTTTAATTTTAAATTAGTGTTTACTAAATAAATGATTTTAATACTCGAATGAGATGGTAAAAGATCTATTTTAACTTAATTAAAAATTTTAGTTTCGAATTCAATTATGAATATGCAATAATGTTAAAAAAAATTTAGAGAAAATTTTGTTTGTAGTTGTGCAAAAATATTAAATGATAATGTAAGAATGTGCAAATTCGCAATATGTGATATAAAAAATTTATTTTTTAAATATAAGTTTTGTCTGATATAAAAATGATAATATTTATTTTCTTAAATTAAAAAAATTGTTTTTATTTTGAGAATTTCTCTTTACACCTAGTAGTGGGTGTAATATCCTATTTCTTTGTCGATAATTTAACCAAAAATCAGAGTAAAATTAATTCGTAAAATAAAACGTCAAGAATAGGATGTCACATCTTCATACAATATACATGCTCATATAAAAAGATACGCAACGCATAGTCACTTATTCATCATGTTTGAACTCCGTTTCATTTATTCACAGTGAAAAATATCACTGGCAATTATTCTCAACATGAGTGATAGTTATCGTAATTCAAAATTCAACGTAAAACATCAATTAAATTCAACAAATGGAGTTCTACAATAGTTTACTCCCAACGTAAATAAAATAAGCGCAAAATCCCCAAGTATTACGTATCAGAGCTAACACCGACTCAATTTACACAAAACGAGATAACTCCTCAGCTAACCTTGACCTCAAGTTACTTCGGATCACCTTCATGTTACCCACGTAGAGGCAACATTCAAATATAAAGGAGTGAGATATCATAACAATATAAAAGAGAGCATAATAATGAGTATATAGTAATTTAAGTATGCATAATCATACTTATTTACCTCACACTTTTACTTCATTCATCACACTACAAAGTACATCAATATATAAGCAAATATACACACAACACATAATACTCATCATAATATAACTCACACTCTTTCAACATCAAAACATCAAGTTAAATAATCATAATGAAATGCAATGAGACCGATACTGACTCAATGCATGTGGTACCAACAGGGTATAAGCCCCTATCTTTACGTCAATACATATCATCTCTCACCAATACAAGCCATCTTTCGTCAATACATGTCATCTTTCGCTAATCTATACCATCTTGCAGAGCATAAGCCTTTATCATGAATGTATGCGACACTGACACGCACCAACATAAAATGCATTGATATTAATACTCATCAATGCCACACCAATACAGACCATCATCATCATCATCATGCAGTACATCACACTAAATAATTGAACCATTCATATAACATCATCTTACTCAAACGCAACATTAATCATAACACATTACTCAGGAATATACACATATAGGCATCAATGTTGGTCAAATAATTTGATATTGTGTTCCAATTTATTTTTATAGGATAGAAAATAATTTTATCTTTACACCGGTCTAAACGATGCGTCAAATGGGCACCCGAGGCGAAAATTATGAAATTTACAATTTTTGAAAAATCTGACAGTTTTAGTGGTAACCGGTAACTGTCAGGAGGGCAACCGGTTACACCCATGTGATTCAGAATTACAACTCTACTGTCCAGTTGGGTAACCAGTTACCTCCCAGGTTGTACCTGGTTACACCTTCTCATTTTTGTCTATTTCTCCCAAATTTTCATAGGGTAATCGGTTATTTCCAAAAGGGTAACTGATTACACCTGATGCAGAGTTCAAAAATATGTAATTTTTATGAATACGAAAATCATTGTTTCAAAACCCCAACTCCTAATTTTTTAATCAAAACAGTATCTTTTAATCATATCAATTATATCAATTATTCACCCACATTTCCGTTGCACACCAAAATTTACCCTCCAATTTTCACACCAGATAAACTCTCAGAGGTCCTCAATTACTCAAGTTGACTAAGGATTAGCCAGACAAATCCTCCTCTTAAGACAATGAGCCTCAAACTAGGGTTTCACTCCTCATCAAGATGTTTGAGTTTACAAAGGTCCTAAGTGGTTTCCATTTCCCTAATATGTTCTCAAGATCATCCATGCCAAGTTTCATGCCTTGCACAAGAAGTTTGCTCAGTCAACTGCTCAAATGCCTGAAAATCAACTGTACTAGGTCAAAAGTCAACTGTGACCCACATACAGTCAAACTTCAAGATTTTTGGTCAACATCAACATTTTGAAGTTATATCCATCATTTGATCAAGTATTGATCATGATTCCTCAAGGAATGCTCCTAATTCATCAAAACTCAAAAGTTGCTAAATTAGGGTTTCTATAGGAAAAGTCAACCAAACTTTGACCAGACATAACTTTCTCATACTTTATCATAAATTTATCATCCAAGGATAATTTTTAAGAGAATCCAATTCCCTACAACTTATATTCATCCCTCAAGTTCAAGAAATGAACTCATGAAAAGATATAAATTCAGACATTATAGGTCCTTTTCAAAAGTCAACAAAAACACCTTTTGGGTCAAAACTTCTTACATGAACATGGAAGATCCAATTGAGATGAAACCAAAGAGGTTGATTAGGGGACATCCTAATATTTCTAAAAAGTCCAAGAACACCATCATAGGGTTAAAAGTGAGAGAGAGAGATACATTGTCAAAGTTGGCCAATTTTTGAAAAAAATGAATGAAGCAAATATTGACCAAACTTGGATTTTTCCAAATGGGCCTATCTTTTCAAGTTTGAAACTCATTTCTAACATGGTACACGACCTCTAAGCCCACCCATACATTTTTCTACTATTTATGCAATTTATTTTGATATTTTATTCATTAAAATTCAGAATTAAATAAATAAATAACATTATGATTTATGGCATTTTTTCAAATTTTGATCATGGTCTTAAAACACAATATTATGAGGGAGATTCTTTCCATGCTTTCTTGTCTCCTCATTCTCCTCTATAAGTATAGAGCCATACAAGCTTTAAAGACACGAAATTCCTCTATAAAAATCTCTCAAAAAGCTCTTCAAAAAGCTCTCAAAAAGCTCTTCAAAAAGCTCTCCAGAAATCAAAGAATTGGTGCAAGTCATATCTCGAGGTTCCGGTCTCTCTCGATTGACATCAAGCCTCAAACCATCCTCTTTAAGTCCTAAAGAGTCTTACAAGGCCCAAGAGAAATCCATCACACGCCTAGCACGCCCCCATTGACAACACCAGTTTGGTAAAATTTTAAATCTGTACAGCCGGCAAGTCAAAAACCTGAAAAGGCTGCTCGGGCAACAAAGGGTATCCTGATGGACTGAAAACCCGAAAGGGCAGTCCAGACAAAAAATAGGGATGTAAAGCATATCACTATGTCCCATTGAATCACCTTGCAATCAGACCTCAGTATCAACTGTTAAGCTCGAACGACACTGATCAATCTAATTAGCTTCGGACAAGTAGCAAAGTGATGAGACGCTCGAAGACACAGGGGCAATAGCAGAATTGGAACCCAATGGGATTGTTGTACATAACCCCAGTAGAATAATAACTCTTGACAAAACCCTATCTCAGCCGATGAACATAGAATATGAGCAGATGATTCAAAGAAATACTTGTGCTCAGGATCACCCCTGATAAGATAAAATCATATATTCATGAGTTAACATAAAGCTTCAGATAAAATACCAACCTTTGTAAGGAAATCCCAGAAGGGATGCTCTTGTATCTTGACGAAGAAGAAGTCCCTGATGACCATACTTCACCGATTGAAGAAAAATCTGAGAAATCACACTTTATTTGATATATACACCTCAAATATACTCTGAAGCCCTACTTGCACTATCACTGATCTTTTGAACCATGGTACATTATTGAATGAAATGCATGATATGCAAGTGGCCTAATGAAAATATGCGAATGCAATGTTAAGCCTAAGCCAAATAATAATACAATTAGGAGGGAAAATTTTAGGGTGAAACACAACCAAGCATATAAGTATTGGGAACTTCCATATAATCAATCATTATGCCAAGAAATCGATCAAAACAAAAAGGAATCAACCATAGCATCACAAAAACCTAAATTTAACCACAATTAGACATTTAGTCATATTAATTCCTAAACTAATAGTAAAAATCATGAAAAAAATTATATCTAAGTCATGGATTAAAATAATAATATTCACAAAACAATTCAGCGAAAAATCATGTAAGAATCATCAAAACTAAAATGATAAAAGTCAAGAAACTAAATGAATTCACAAGAAAATCAGGTGGTGTGTGGATCATTGAAGGGGTGTAGAATAATGAGCCCAATGGTGCGAGGCCCAAGCGCTACATTGCTCAGTCCAGATCCACTCCATTTTTCATTTATTTATTTATTATTATCTTTTATTAATGATTGAATAAAAAAGAAATTAGTAGAGAGAAGTGCCAAAACGCCTTCAAACCTCTTAAGCACATCTCTTCCCTCTTTTCATTGTTCCATTTCTCTTCAAACTTCCAAACCCTAGCTTCCACGACTGTCACCTACACCGTGACGCATCTCTAATCGCCACCATAAACAACCGTGTATCGCTCTCATCTTTCCCTATCAATTATTGGATTAAGCCATAAGAATTACCTGGAATTTGCTATGATAGTGAGTGAAATTGAATATCACTTGCAGAAATTCATGTATGTGGCTTGATATGAATTTTTGATGACTTTGAATAGTTGGAAGCAAACTTGAATGATGAATAAAATTCTTGATGGATATGGAGTGCAGAGGTTTGGATAATGGATGAAATTGAAATAGAAACACGAATCCCACAAATGAGCATGGAAGAATGGCATGGAATCCATCACTCATGTAGGGAAATAACCCTAATTCTTGACCTCGATGAATTTCGATGGTGAACCGCCTTGTAGCTTGAAAAGAAAGAAGACCATGGTAACTATAAATCAAAATCCTAGTTCCGGGAACCAATTAAATGGAAGCTTGTGATCTATCTTCAATCAATGAACTTTGATCACCTGATGATTTTTGGGAAGCTTGTAGAGAAGGAAGACCATGTGTCTTGATGGGAATGATCCTAATGACTGACATCTCCAACTAGTGTTGATTGATCATTGTATCTTCTTATTGATAGGAGAAGACCCTAATACAAAAGGACCCTTGATCTTTTAGGGACAATTCAGAACAAGTGACAATCACCATATCTGGACAATGATGATATTGATGGTAATAACCCATCTTCTCTTGAAATAAGAATTTATTAATTTGTATCGGTACATCTTTGATAACTCCCACTGGTGTCTTGAATGTTATGTCTATTATTTGTAATATTGATACAATTGCCTCTATTTGCATATACCAGATTTTGTCTACCACTGATAACAGTATTATATTCACACTTGCACCTAAATTAATAACAACTCTAATTTTCATATTACATATAGAGACATGTAATACAACTAAACTAGGCCCGACTTTTTTCCTGGGCAGATCTTGTTGATCATCTTTCCAGACTTCATTCTGCGACTTTCCTTCTCCTGTTCTTTCTTCTCTTTCTTCCATGGTACCAACACCATTCTTTTTGTCTGCAAGAACAACATTGTAATGCTCATTTGGATTGTTTTTTGTGTTTGCACTAAATGTGTAACTAGGGAGATCTAAAAAATGCTTGTTAATTTTCCCACCTAAGTTTCAAGGTTTTCAATGAAATCTTTAGTATTCTTTTGGTTGGCCATAGGCACATGTATAAACTAATTGAGTGTGTCCTCCAACTTGTTTGTTTTGTGTGGTTGTGGAGGTGCTTGTGAATATTGATGAAAATGTTGTATGTTTGATGGACCAACTTTGAATATCCATCCTTGATTGAAATTGTTGCTCTATGGGAAGTTGTATTCATGATATTACCAAGGAGTTTGATTTCCTATGTATTTCACTTCTTCATCAAATGGGGAAAACATACAGTTAGATGGTCTCCGGTGAAAAGTTCTCAGAATGCAAACTGCTTGTGAGGTGACACTTCATGCATTTGTTTTAATTGTTGTGGTAACTTCAACAGTTAGTTATTTGGTCAGCTCATCCATAATTTGGGTCAACAACTTGTGATGAGCATGAATAACATCACTGGTGTTCAGTTTCATGATATTGTACTTCCCATGAGAAATTTTGTTGTTATGTTATCATTGATGATCATGGAGTGACATACACTTAATGATAGTTATTGCATCTTCCACACTTTTGGATGTGAGAAAACCCCCAATAATAGCAGCTAGAAGTAACTTTGGTTGTTGCTGAAGTCCATTCATGAAGATGTGAATTTATTTAAATTCACTTTTCCTATCCACACGTTGAACCAAAAATATACAATGTTTCATTTTCCAATTTAATATTGAAAGTCCTATGCAAACCCGTCTCTATCTTCTACAACATTCTTCCTAACTAGCTGCAAGTATTTCCACCATATTTATGTTTTCTTCAGTCTCATTGTTTCTGCTCCAACAATAATGTGTTCCGGTAAGTTGCCATATCTAGAAGTGATTATGTCCTTCTATATTGGCTTCTCTTCACTTAACATCCTCCATTTCCACTTGTAAAGTAGAGCATAACTGAAAATCTCTATATTCCTTACTCTAAGTTCACCCCTCTTTTGATATGCAAATGTTATTCCATTTCCCCAAGATGATTCCTCTTTTATCTTCCTTTCTAATCCACAAAAATCTATTTTGAATTTGAATTATTTGTTGTAAGATCTTATTTGGTGCTTTGTAGAATGACATGAAGTATATTGATATGCTGGAAAGTACTAAGTTCAAGAGTGTTAGTCTCTCTCCAATTGATAACAACCTTCCTTTCCATGTTGATAACCTCTTCCTCAGGCTTTCTATGACTAGACCATGTGGCACATCTTTTAGGACTATAATCCATTTGTATACCCTAAAAACTTAAAAGATATCTGATATAGACATCAAGAGAGGAATCAGGAACCTGCTTGCATAAAAGTCTCCCCTACATGTATGCCATACATTTTACTCTAAATTGAGACTCAATCCACAAACCATTTCAAAATCCCTCAACACTTCTTTTATACTCAATAAATTCTGCTAACTTCCCTTTCCTACTATGATAGTATCATCAGCAAATTGCATTAGCCTATAATCAATCATGTCAAACCTTCCACCACAATTGTAAACAGGAAATGGGACAGTGGATCCCATTGCCTAAATCCCCTCCCAATTATGAAATCACTTGTTGGACTTTCATTAACAATGATTGACATGTTGTTATTGAAGATGCATGCCTCTATCCACTTGATCCACTTGATTCCAAAACCAAACTTCTCTAGCATAAATCTCAAGTAACTCCAACTTACACAGTCATAGACTTGTTCAAAGTAAACTTTTAGTAGCATACACTCATTTCTTTCTTTCTTTGCTAGATCATTATTTCATTCAACACAACAACTTCATCTAATATTTGTCTTCCCAACACAAAAGGAGTCTGACATTCTAATATGATCCTGTTCATAATCCCTTCCAATCTTGATGCTAATTTTTTTTACAGAATTTTGTACATACATTCCACCAAGCATATTGGTCTATACTTTCACATGCCTCAAGGGTTCTTATTTGTTGGAGTTAAAGCAAGGAAAGAAGTTGTGATAGATTTAGCAATGTGGCATTCATATGAAATTCCTTCACAAATTTTACTATATCTCCTTCCAGGAAACTCCAACAATTTTATTATGTTTCTATTGCAACCCTTTCATCATCTGAAATATATGCCTTACTTCAATTCCCTCTAACATGGTATGTGTTTGTTTGGTTCTTGAAATATCTCCTAAAAAACTTTCTACATTTCTCTTTTCATCCCATCTACATCTTCTACTCTGCCTCTTCCAAGTACCTTAATTAAAACTATAGGATTTACAAGTTGCTATTTCTATTTAGTTTATGAACAACTAGTCATCTCAATTTTTTGGATTTAAAGTGTATAGTTTTTGTTATCACCAATTTTTTTTGCATAATAACATCGTCATTTATAGCTTATACATCCGTTAATTGTTGTATTATTGGCAAATTGATAAAACAGAAAATAGTGAGCTAAGTGAACCTAGTATATTCAGTATGTTAGAAATCCCAGGTTTGAAGTCATCAATTATGAGGAGCCTAAGAAAACTTTGAGACACTGAAAATTGTTTTTAGAATTTTTCACCTGCGCGTATCAAAACTGTTCTAATTTCTTCGGCTATGTCATGAAGGATGATAGGTTTTCGAATCAATCCATTCATTCCCGCCTGTAGGCATCTCTCCTTTATTCGTTCTTCTGCACTTGCTGTAAGAGCAATAATCAAAGGCCAATTTCGGCTTTGGAACTTTCGAATCTTCCTTGCAACTTCAAAACCGTCCATTTCAGGCATGTGAAGATCCAATAGGATGATTTTGAATGACATACTGGAGGCAGTTATAGCAGCTAAACAATCAAAACCCGATGAAACAGCGGTTACATGACAACCAAGCTTCTCAAGTAGCTTCTTAGTTACAGTCCTGTTTACGTTATCATCGTCGGCTAAAATAACGTTAAGCCCTCTAAGCTGTTGGTTTGAAAAATCTTTATTAGCAAGAACGAATCTCCCATGCGATGATCCTAATTGAAACTTGAGAACAAGTGTTACGCCTCGTGCCAAACCTAGAGAGTTTGGTGATATCCAGATATTACCTTGCATCATCTGTATGTCACAAATTGTATGGTCAGATTTACAGCACATAAATTTGAAAATGCATCTTAACGATCTATATAAATTTGAAAATCAGAATGGTTACCTGCACCAGTGTTTTGCAAATGCTGAAGCTCAGGCCCTCCTTAGGTTCATTTCTGTGGTGCATCTTACTAGTTAAAGTCGATTCGTCTGAACGGGAACTAGTACCGGTTATCTGGAAATTAAATTTTATATATACATTATCATTTTGCATACTTGAGGATCTCCATATTCTGGAACTTCTATCATCCATATCCACGCCGGTATCGCTTTTGAGAGAAACTTGAAAAACGAGAGTCCCTCTATCGTATAAGTTTAACAAATAGCCAATCATGTGCAAAATTATTTGAAAAGACCTTGCCTCATCGCCTATTACCATATCGGGCAAAGACCTCTGCACATCAATTTCAAGACCAACGCCTTTATATACACACAAACACTTTGCAATGCAAGAAGCTTCCCTCATCATGGAATGTAGATGGAAATGTTTCAACTCTAACTGGAAACTTCCTTTGTCGTTAGCCGAAATCTCCATGACATCGTTTATCAGACGTGAGAGAGAATTGCTAACTTTCAATATTGTGTCAACAACAATCTTCTGTTCGGATCTTATACTATCCTCTTGAAACATTGAAAGCAATCCCAGGATTGAATGCATAGGTCTCCGCATTCCGTGGCTCATCACTTTCTCAAACGAGCTCCTTGCCTGACTAGCCATCATCGCGTACTTTTGTGCCTGCTGCAACGCCCGGTTTTGCTCTGCAAGTTTCTTTCTCATGATCTGAGACTCTTCAAGAACAGATGCATGAGACAACGCCACAGCCACCTGATCAGCAACTACTTCCACTATCTCCATCTCATCGAAGGTCCAAACTCTAGAATTCGATTTCGGAAGAACCAAAACCAATATAGCATAAGACGTCTCAACAAACTCCGGTGTCCCTCCTTTGAAATTCGAAACATGAAGTATCGGCATACGAATGGCCGCTACAGCACCCGAGTCCTCAGATCCACCACTACTCGCAGCTCCAAGCGCAGAATCAAGCCTTAAAACCAACACCTTCTTGCTCTTTCTTATCTCCAACACATCCAAATCGTTAACACATATCGAACTATGAAAATTCCTCCCCGGATTCGGCTTCAACTCATGAGTCAAATGCATGACCCTGATACCCTCATCTGGCATCCAAACCGCACAATTATGCAAATCCAAAGCCTTAGAAAGCTCAACAAGCGTGGTATACAATATCGTATGCTTATCCAACGACTTCCTAATCTCCCTAGTCAACATCCTAACATGCCAACTAGCCTCCTTCTGTTTCTTCATAATCCCAACCTCTTGTCCTAACTCCAACACATTCTGCCTCAAAAACAACTCCCTCACCTTAATCTTCAAAAGAAGCGGAATCAAAGTCGGAAAAGTAATCGCAGTCGCACACGAAACAAGAGCAGTGAAGAATTTGGCAATAGTAAGAGCCAGAAACAATTGAAAGGAATGAGGACCATAGTAAGTATAAGCATTGAGCAAATGTGTCAAACCACATAGAACAATGAAAGCAACAAATTGAAGAAACACCAATTTAAATGGAACATTGGAGTAACTCACAAAATAAAGAAGCTCAAGAGGAATTGAAAAATATGCAATAGCAATGAAAAAATCACTGACTTTTTGACAAACTAAAATACTTTGTACACTCCAAATTCCATCATCATCACAGTTGCAGTGTATGTATTCACCATAAACTGATATCACAAGAGCATTACAAATCAATAACATTAACAACAATATCAAAGGAGAAGAAACAAACCC